AGACAAATGCCCAGAAATAACAACTGGAAACCGCTTTGTGACTCTGGTCTGTGAAAGGCGGTACTTACTTACTAGTTCTGTGATGGTTCCTATTTCAAGTTTAAACTTTTTTCCCCCATACTGACACAACCGGCATGTAATGTTAATTCCTGAACACATTAAAATTGGTAACTACACCTAATCTGTATTCAATAATATATGTCAATGAAAATAGATTTTGTTTTAGCTCTGTGTCTCTCGTACCCTCTGATGCATTATGGGAGATTGCAAATTATAATTTTGTTTTAGGAGATTGATCTTCTTAACAAAACTGCCAACCTCACAGTACTCGTGGGAAACATTTGCACCAATCAAACCCGGGCCCTAAATAGATATCCATGTGCCAGTTTCTGCCTACGCACTGACATTGAGAGTTTTAATTATTTTGTGAAAGAGTCCAATCCTGTAACAGACATCACACAAGCACCGGAAGTCATGCCATACAGTCTATTGTTGTATTAACAATTGAAGCTTTGAAACTTGTTTCAATCAATCAAATTTTATTCATAAAGCGCTTTTTCATACAAAAAATGCAACACAAAGTGCTATACAGTTTAGTTAAAAACAATCCAAGATGCCCACCCCTAAACCCCACTGCCCCACAGACCCACCCAAAACCACGTTTTTTGATAACTATACACACATAAAGACGCACGCACACACCCACACGCACACACACACACACAGACAGACACATATAAAGTCACAACAGACAGGTAAAATAGGTAAAACTATGAAAAGATATAGGGCTGGGTGCAGATGCATCCAGCTGAAGAAGCGCTATCCAAGGAGCCATCTGCACCAGGAGCAGAGAGCCGCTTGCAGCTACAGTACAGGGGACGACACAGGACCCAGAGGAGAGAGAAGGCCCCAGACCCCCACTAGAACCAAGAGCCAGACCCCCGCATCCACAGCAGACCCCAGCTCCCAGTGCAGAGGGCTCCTCCAGAGGAAACACTGGGGATACTAAAACAATACAATAGGAAGTAAAACATTAAAATGCGAGACTAAAAAGAAAATGGCAGCTACCTTAATAATATTATTAATAATAACAATAGTAAATGACAAAATAAATAAAATAAATCTAAATAAAAAAAAATAAAAAATAAAAAAAACTAATACTAAAAGTCTTGTTTGCTTTGTGGTTGCTATAGGTAACTGCCCCAATTCATAGATTCCGGATTTCTGTTTCATGCTACATTTTGAGTGTTTATCACGCACACCATCTCTCTGGAAACAACCATCATACTTCATCATACGTCTGAAACCCATGATGCGGCTCATGCACATAGAGGAAGGAACGATTATGAACCATGTTAACGATAATCTACTAAAATATGTTTGTGTTAGGTAGACTGTCCATGGTCCACACCTAAGCTGCAGAACCTTATGTCAGACCAACTCACTGCTAATTAATCAAGAGCCCTGTGGCAGCAGCTGCACACTCTCCGACAGCCAGTGACATCAGCATACGTCTGTGGAGCCGAGGACTTTCACACACATGTGAAGTGCCCCCCAGACGGTGAGCGCTCTTGTTACATTTGTCACATCTCTAATCCCACTCCAGTTTACACTAATGCAATGACACAAACATCTGTGGATGGAGCAGAAGAATTCCCTTAAGGCCTTTCATGTTTGCCTCACATTGAAATACATAAGTGACAGGTGCTTCGTCTAAAAGATGAATTACTCTGGCTCTAGATCAAATTAGGACTCATCATGGAATTCATGATAAAGATCCGTTTTATTATCAATCTGATCAACATCATCCAGAAACATGGGTAACCATATTTTAGATTGTTAACAAAGTAATTTAATATTCTGAGTTCGTTGTGGTTTGTTTTCATGAAAAAGTTAAGATATATTAAAACATAAACTACAGCAACTAATAATATATTTTCCTTCTATCTACCCATATGGAAGTGTGATGTTCGGCCCACTTGGCAGTCTGTTCTGGTTTTGAATGTAAAAATCCCATTCTAATCATTTTAGGAGTTTCAAAAGGTCATACACAAAGCACTTATCATGTATGTAATTTCCTTTCCAAACCACCGGCTATGAAATGCCGAAGATCATAGTGGCTAGATTTAGCTGCTGCTAACTGCTGAGAAGACCAAGTATGTCCAAACTAAGGCCCTCTGGGTAATTTCATTTGGCCCTCTTTCTTGCTAGCCCTATAGTATATGAGATTATAAACACAAGTCCATCCATCCATTTTCTTCCGCTTCATCAGTTGCTGGGTCGCGGGGACCCTATCACACACTTCACTCCAGCTCCTTCGAGGGGACCCCAAGGCGTTCCCAGGCCAGCTGGGAGACAAAGTGCCTCCAACGTGTCCTGGGTCTTCCCCGGGGCCTCCTCCCGGTGGGACATGCCCGGAACACCTCCCCAGGGAGGGCGAGGCATCCGGAACGCAGTGGCTCTACTCCGAGCTCCTGTGCGACTGAGCTCTTCACCCTATCTCTAAGGGAACAGTTTGACCGCTTGTATATCCGCGATCTTGTCCTTTCGGTCATCACCCAAAGCTTGTGAGGGGGGGAATGAAGATTGACCGGTAATTCGACAGCTTTGCCTTTTGGTCGATGCGGTCGATGCAGCGACCGCATCACAGCGCACGCTGCACTGTTCCCCCAAAGGACACCTGGGAACATGTCCAGCACCTCTTCCAAATCTACAAAGCACATGGTGTAGACCTTACCAGGGAGGCTGAGGAGTGTGATCCCACGATAATTGGAACACATCCTCCGGTCCCCCTTCTTGTAGAGAGGGACCACCACCATTGTGGTGCCACTCCATTGGCACCACCCCAAATTGCCTCGCGATGTTGCAGAGACGTGTCAGCCAAGACAGTCCCACAACATCCAGAGACTTTAGATAGTCAGGACGGATCTCATCCACTCCTGAAGCATTGCCACCAAGGAGGCTTTCAACCACCTTTGTAACCTCAGCCAGGGAGATGGGAATATCCACCCCACGTGACTGAAAGGTGGAGGAGAACCTCGGAGTGTTCCTTCTGTGTTCCTAATCACCCAAATTAGGTGAATAGTGGGGGAATAACATCACATATTATGAGTGTCATTTTGGAACTAATGGCATAAGCTGTTCTGTGGCTTGATGTGTTCTAATGACTGCCCTATGTGCTATAGGCAGATAACAGTTCAGAGTTGAATTAAAGTATGTTATTATATTTTGAATCAGTTTCTGGTCATTTTCAATTTTCAAAATTTGAGTCACAAACATGTCACTTAGCAGTGAAGCAAGCCATTATTAGGCAGAAGATCAAATCAAACTCATTAGAGAGATGACAAAAACAAACTACTGTTATTGATTGAGCAACACCAAAAGACCTGGAAGATAAAGGAAAATAACTGTGTTGGATGATCCAAATTCAATTAGACGGACCAGGTAGATGTGTGTCAATGATCAACATCTCAAAAGCTAAGACAGACGGTTCGGCACAAGTAGTGACATATTGGTGAGCCCATGAAACAGAAATATCAGAACAGTCTATTGATAGATGAGTCAAAGATCAACTTGTACCAAAATGATTGTAAGGATGGATGCTGATTTTTATGGATGTTTAATTGAAAACCTACTCTAAGCCCCCAAAGAGGTTCTTTTAGGGCATCACAGTAAAATCAGTTGAAGACAAAACTTAGAAGAAAAAACGCATGACACAGCACAAGAACTGACTGGTGAGGTCTTTACCTTCCAGACTCCAGGTTGTAATATTCAAAAAATGATTTGACATGAAGTTTAATCATCTATTTTACGTCTATACATTCTCGGTTTGTCCTAAAACTGAGTGATAATATGAACCTTTAAAAAGTGGACGGCACACATTTCACACACCGTTAAAAAACATCTAACCTTTGATTTGTATGGTCTGTTATACTGCAGGTACAGGACAATTTCACGATAATCATGTTGATGTACCAGTAGTTATAAATATGATCTGTGTCCATGTCCCAAAACTGCCGGACTGTTTCCAGACACTGAGCCATATTGGTTGTAAGAGTACCAAACTTGAAAACCAGTTTCAATCAAAAAAAATGTTCTAATCTGTATCAATCATTGCATGCAAGGAAAAAAATCAAAGTACTAAAACACCCAAGTATCTAAATGGACAATTTACACTTGATAAAAGGCATGAAATGTAATGAATTAGAGCTTTTAGGATGGAAGAGCAGAGCAATTTTCCACTCATGCTGGAGCACTAATACCAGTAAATTGGCTTGATAATATTGTAATGTTCATCTTTGTTGTGTTTATTCGATGTGTTTGAGTGCTATGACTGATCTCATTATACAGTCAATCTAATAGCGATTCAGTTAAAGCTATTGATTTGTTCAACACTGCTGTCTCGGTAAGGATTTACTGGGTGTTCGAAAAAATGTAATTAAAGAACTTTTTTTTGCCAAAGAAATAGGCACGTGCATGGTCTTGTCTGCTCACCCAAATACTGTCAGTACCCAATCTTAGGGTGAATGTTAAAAGCTTAAAATAGACAGCACATACAAATTGGCTGTGATAGGGAGTAAAACTATTCCTTGAACTGCACCCATGATATATACGACCAAAACCAAATGTTATGTCCACCGGAGAAAGAGTGTGAAAAGACTGGCTCGTTTTTGGCCACATCTCACAAAAAGAGTGTTCAGGAGGCGGAAGGTTACACCAGAAAAAAAAGCTTTTAACTGAGACTGACAATTTACACCAACAGTGAAACAGGCACATATAACAAGTGTGATTACGTTTGTGTTACTATCTATGAATAGGCTGTGGTCACATATCCTGGCTTATCACAGCCAGAAAGGCATGAAAAAGGCATAGAATTAGCGTCTCTGTGGCAATTTAATGCTTTTCACTGCACACAAGCTCCTGTATGCCTAAATTGCATTTCTTGGTGTAAATTGAGGGTAAGTGGCTGAAACATAATACGCAAGTAGCACTGGGTGGGCTCAATACTCCATTTGAGCCTGCTCCTCCAGCTCCAGCTTGTTCCCTCGTTCTTCAAGCTGAAGTCTGTCTTTTACGGCCACAGATACCATCTGTGGTTGGAGGGAATCATTAGCTCGTATACACTGGAGCTCTGTGACCTCTCTGTCTCCCAAGTGTGTCCTGACCACACCATTCCACTGCAGAATATAGTAGAACTCTCACTTATTGGTGTCATTGATGTTCTTTTGCTTACCTCTTTTATATGTACTGCTGGTCGGTGGGTATGTTATGATTCCACACTCATTTGATCGGAACGTTCACACTGAGTCAACCCATGTTGCTGAGTGTGAAAGGAATGCTCAAAAAAATTGGATTATATTGAGATTTAGTAGTCAAGTCAAGTAAGATACAGTCTTTAGACATGAGCATTTACCTTCTTTTTGCTGGTCTTGTTGATCTTAACATTTAATAAACGCATACACCAATCTACACATTTGCAAAACATTCCTTTATTATAAATAAATCTCCTTTTTGTATAAAAAACTGGCATGCTTCAACCATGGCGTTGTACAGGTTCACGACCCAAGGCTACAACCTGGTTAGCCAAGACAGCAGGAAACACACTCATCTCGGTATGCAAGGGGCGATCCATCAGACAACGTGAGACAAGAATGAAAAAATCAGCACGACCACAAAACTACTTACAAGGAGAATAACAACAAACAGCTTTAAGTCTCATAGATTTTCTCTTACAATTCTCTTTTAAATATCTTTAAAATGTACTCTGTTAAATCTCTTTCCCCATCATATCTTTGCCCCCTTAAGATATTATGTCTACATTTTTTGTGCTTCTTTATTATTTTGTGATTTTTTTTTGTGCATTTTAATTTTTTACCCAGTCCACCACAGTGTCCTATGGCATGTCACTTTTTTCACATAGTCTCTTTTTTTAAACAGTAAGTTCATAGTAGGACCAATGAGCTGTGAGCAGCGCGAAAGCAGGCACAACGATTGGCTGTTTATGTAGTCCCACCTCTTTCGTGGGTTTGGATGTGGAACAATACAAAATGTCTCATGCTTGAATGCCATTAGCCACTTGGAATGTCAGCTGGCGTTTTTGACCAATCAGAAGATGAATCAACGGTTCGCTCTTTGGCTCGGCTCCACCCACAGGCAGCTTCTCATTCACGTGTCTAGGCCCGTTCTTCTCTTCCACAGTTGTCACCCACTCAGATGGCATGATTGCTGTAGCTGACATACGTTGTCTTAGTTGATGAAGCTGTTAGAAGACAGATAAATATGAGAAATTAGTAACTGTTCAAATAATCATTGCAATTTCAAATGTATTTACTAATTTGTCCTTTTGGAGGCCACATTTTCAGCATAGAGACATGTCAACTCCCATCCAGACGCCATTGCCTCGCCCATTAAGGATGTATGTCTCTACACTGGTTAAAGGAGCTATACCCGATTCATTTTCTAATGAATGTATAAAAATGCGTTTTACTACATACAAGTTGTATTAAAATTCGTAATTTATTTGAAAACTTGAGCTCGTTGATTTAGCTTGTGTATGAAATCAGGCTGTAAAAAGTTTGCGTTTGCGTGACGCTTGCTCTCCTCCAATCACAGAACGAGGAGCGGCGCTGATACGAACAGGCTGCCTCCTCTGTTGTCTACAACGCAGGTAAACAAGTGCAGCATGTTAGCAGAAAGTGGCTATAACTCCTCTTGCTGTAACTGCAGACATAGCAAAACAGCCCAAACGACGCAAAAGTGAGGAGGAGAGGAGGGAACAAAAGTAAAAAAATGATCAAAGAAGAAATCAAGCCTCGGGTGAACATAGCTAGCTTACAGCGTATCCTCTGCAGTCTATGGGAGAGACCTGCAGGACCGCCTCGGACTACATTTTGAAGCAAAACTAGCAGTAATCTTTCAGTTATATATTTTGTTAGCAGTGTGTTGCTTTCGTTCCATTTCATCAGTGATAGTTGTACCGCTTACAAGAAGTTGCGCTAATGCTAATGTTTGCATCGTATCATATCGCAAATAAAACTAGATGGCACTGTGGGAGGAGAGCGAAGAGGAAATGAGAGACCTGTGAGCGAGTTGGGGGGCGTTGCTAAACATTCAAACTGAAAAAAAACCTTGCAGAAACGGATATAGCTCCTTTAAAGATTTTTACTTTGGTGTTCTGTTAGAGATAAGATATTATTACTTTGCATTCATCAAGTGGAGCCTGTACGTATGTAAACAAGATACCATGAAAGGCAACATACATCATTGCAGAATAAACGACAAGACACAAAATGTGAAGTATTGCGCCATCACACCAGAGGTAAAAACACATTATTTAACCATTAAATTAAACAATGAAGTGAAGTGAAGTGCTGTGAACATTAAATAAATGTTTTTGCTTGTTCATTTCATATAGTAAGCAGCGGATCAATGTGACGAGTCATAAATGATGACAAGTCTTCTGACCCTGATTACACTGCCCACTAAACTATTACTACCTGCGGCGCTGTTTTGGAAGCTACTTGCAAACATTGGACAAGAAAGTGAAAGTGAGAAGAAAGCAATCAGGTTTCAGTCCTGTTTGTACCATCTTTTTTTCCATTCAAACCCATTACCTGTTGTGTCCCCTCAAGCGGAGCATGCAAAATGTCAATGTTTTGCAGCAAACACAGACTCTAACTGAGCCATTGTGTTTTTATTCCTCCTTTCACTTGCCATCGCACACCCGAATGCATGAGAACATTTGCAATTCAACAGGGAAAAAGCACAAAAATGAAGAACAAAAAAAATACAGAAAAGTGTCAATTGAATCAATGTGAATTCTAATATTAAGTGCTATCAACAAGGCGAGTTTATTTGTCTAGCACAGGGCAACTCAAAGTTCTCACAAAACAATAGGAACTCTTGTCTTTCGTAATAACCGACAGCACAAACAAAGAGTTCTAGAATCTTGAACATGAAAAAAATACACTTGGCCTTGAGAGAAAACAAGATCCTGTTATAAAAAATATTTTCAAAATAATCATGTAAAGTCATTTTGCGATTTGGTCTAATCCAGCGAACATTATTCTGTGCATAATACATTACACACTAATAATAATTATATGAACTATACATTTGTGCTATGTTAGTAACAGGCCATAGTTTTCTCTAAACATTCTCTTTATCTTACTTCTGGGGTATCTGATTATTTCAAAGCTGACACAGCAGGAAGAAGGTGGCAAGCTCTATCACACACTCATAAGACCATAATGACTACAAATAAAATCATTTTAGCGCTTAACTTAGAGACAGAAAAAGTTGTTGTGATAACTATCCTTTAACAGGATTTTGTTCTCAGCCCAAAGTATGTGACAGTGACTCACATGGCACTTCTTTACACATTTTGAATACAATCTGTAGCTGTATATTTTTCATAGAATGTTTACAATTCACTTTTTACCTTCACATATGGAGTGTAAGGGAGGGTGTTTGGAAATATACAAGCGTTCGCTTTAGCCCTTTCCAAACCTTGTATATTGTAATATATTGTATCATTCTGAAAACTCTGTGAATTATGTTAACGCTGGTTTTGGAATTAACAAATACATGAAATTAAATAATATTTATGAGTCTTACAACAGTAAAAGCGCAGGACCGACAAATAACTACAGGTAGCACATTTCCAATGAAGAGTTACTACAAGACCCACTACTCTTGCTGTTCCATACAGTATGTACGTTACCACATTAACGTAGTTGCTGCTTCCATATGATCTAAGAAGCACTAAGATTTCTTCGTAGTCTTCTGACTTCCAAAAACAAGAGCAATCATACAAAACTAGCAACAGCATGTTGAAATGTTCTTTGATTCTCTTTTTGCTCATTTATGAAAAAGGAACATTCTCTTTTTGCTCATTTATGAAAAAGGAACAGAAACCTTCAATGATTGGAAATACACAACTCACTGACAAATATGCAGTTTATTATAATAAATGTGCTCATACATTTACAATCTTGGACATTTGTGTGCTTTGTGGTATAATAATGCACTATATAAATAAATAAACATGAATCCACACATTCTGTTTGTAAATTGATTTTGGGCTTGAATTAAAATTGAATTTCTAACTTAAGCTGTGTCAAACCTTTTTTTCTGGATGTGACACACTCTATTTGTCTTACACTAACTCTAAAATTGAGTTGAAACTAACAAGGAATGTGCAAATTCAGATCATGGAAATGTGAATACAGAAACTATAACATATGTATCAATTGTAAATGATTATTTATGTCTTAAAACAATCAATATATTTGGTCATATTAATCCTTTAAGACTTGCACTGGAAGACTCTCGCCAGGACCCCCGTGACGTGCCCCCCTGATGTGCAGATTGCTGATACAGGAGGCACAGCTGAACATGAATAGACTGTTTGAAGTGCTACTTGACTGTCAATGCAGCAGGGCATGAAAGAAGCACACAGCACATGTTTCAAAACACTATGGAAAGATGTCCTCGAGTAGGGCCAGTGAATGTAAACTGTGTTAGCATAATGTCTCCCTGATTTAACTTAATGCGGGAAGTGTGTACATTCAGACATTGACTACTTTACTAAAATAAAATATACAGCACTGCCACATCCTGAAAGAGGACCGAGGTCGCCAATTTCTGACCCACAGAGAGGAAATATTCACTTTTATTGTTTGGTGTTCAATTATTTCTAATATGGGTTTGGGTGATGCAAGTCATTTGAAATGTACAGTATCATCTCATGTTGAGTTTTGCTTTCATTACACAATTTTCTGTTACTTTGTGTTGGTCTTTTCCAAAAAATTAAAAACCTGATGACACATTTAAGGGTACACTTAAAGTAGCAATATTTAAGATTATCATGTCGAGTCATCAATAAATAGCCCTTATCTGTCAAAAGGCATTTATAAAATGTATACAATTCTTTTACAATACTTCTACAGTAGTTCTGCCGAAATACTCAAATTTCAAAATTAGTTTTACAGCCCCTAAATCCTGTTATTGTTTTCATTTTGATGTAACACTCTCCAGCGTTTTACTAATCAGAAAGTCTGTGATCCGGGTTGCCAGAACTCACAGCATCGAGCTAATCGCACTGGAACAGTAGTAACATGTAGCCACAGAACTAAAAAATGTCTTGTTATGATTCTCAAATCATTAATGACAATACAAGGACTAAACAAGGATTTCTATCGGGCCTTTGTGTAAAAGGTGTTGGTTATAGATTTGTGACAAAACTCTTCTCTATTCAGATTTTAGGGTCCCAGCTAGATTTGTCTGCATATCCGGCAACCTGGGTGGGAGAAGTTGCAGTACAACTTTTTGGCCAGATATATTTACATAGCGCTCATTTAAGTAATGTATGTATAAACCTGCACTACTTATCGACACCCTTTCTTGATTTCCACTTTTGAATTGCCATTTTTTATCGTACGTAATATGTCCTGCATTTAACATGTTTGTACATTTCTTTCTTTTGCACAATCTTGAGTGATTCTATCCATGCCAGATGTGACATATACATTGCACCTGTGTGAGATCAATAAACTCTATCTTTTCTTATCTATTCTTATAACCAGCTATTAAGGCAAGGCAAGTTTATTTGTATAACACAATTCATACACAAGGCAACTCAAAGTGCTGAACAAAATAAGAAAGCATTAAAATCATAAATAATCACAGAACATTAAAAAGAAAGATAAAAATATAAAATCCCTCAGTCGTATGCACAGCTAAACAGAACTGTTTTTAACCTTGTCTTAAACATTGTCAGACTTGTATGCTACTTGTATGCTACTTAAAGGCACACCGCGGACTTTGTGACCTAAAGAGTTGACACATGAGTTATTTTATATGAATACTTGGGCCAATATACAGCGCTTGACACTTGCAATGCTCCGAGCGGGGCTGCCCTCTTGAAATACCGCCCATGTAAGTTTAGAGCAGACGCACCGTCGTTTACCAGGTCACGTGACTTGGAAGAAAGATTTGCTTTACGGCTACAGGCGCTGATATACTCATGGAGCTAAGGCTTTTGCTACTCATTTTTCACCTGCTCGACTCCTGGTCATGGCTGAGGCAAGGAAAAAGTTTAAACCTTCAGAGGAGGCTAAAAAGAGGAAACGCGAAAGGGATCGTGCTCGAGGAAAAACAAGGGTCGATCTGGGAAAGGAGTTTGCTCGTTGGCGCAGGTTGAAAGAAGAAGCTGGATGTAAATCTGATTCTGTTTTTTCAACTTCGTTATTAGACTGGTAAGTGAAGTCTTTGCTCCTAGTATACAGTAAAATGTCTTTGTCACACTCAAAAGACACCGGCTGACTGTTTGTTCACTTTTGCGACAGTGCTGAGTTGCTTGTGGCCACTAGGGGCGCTAAACGTGAAAGTTGCAGGTCTAGCGCCCCTAGTGGCCAAGAGTTACACGGTGTGCCTTTAAGAGGAGGCCTGTGAGACAGGCCTCCTCTTAAGTAGCATACAAGTTTTCTTTTTTTCCATAAATGTTTATTAATCATCGAGATGTAATGGGCTACCTGGCTCTCTGAAAAGCAAAATGCAGTGGGCTCAAGTGGGAGCCAACCATCAGCTCCCTCATCAAAAAGGCCCAGCAGAGGATGCACTTCCTGCGGCAGCTCAGGAAAGCCAAGCTGCCTGCACAGATGTTGGTGCAGTTCTACACGGCCATCATCGAGTCCATCCTCACCTCCTCCGTCACCGTGTGGTTCGCTGGAGCCACAGTCAGGGACAAACAGAGACTACAGCGCATTGTGCGATCTGCAGAGGAAGTGATCGGCTGCAGCCTTCCATCGCTGCAGGACCTGTACGTCACCCGAGCTCGAGGCCGGGCTGGTCGTATCACAGCCGACCCCTCTGACCCTGCACATGGACTATTCCAACCACTCCCCTCAGGCAGGAGACTGCAGTCCATCAGGACTAGAACCTCCTGCCATGAGAACAGTTTCTTCCCCTTTGCTGTTGGACTCTTGAACACTTCATAAACCATCACTGACCTCTGACTTTATGAACGTCACTTTATGCTACTGTCACTTTACTGCACTCTTTTAAGGGTCTATTGTGTGCACCTAGTGCACTTGTATATAGTAAACTGAAGAAATGTATGTAGATTTTTATCTATGCATGCCTCTGATTTGATTATGCTTTAACTTGTTTGCACCGAGAGCCACAGCAATTTCCTTGTTACTTGCATGGCAGTAAAAGGATTCTGATTCTGATTCAGTTTTGTAAAATCTTTGAGAGAGGCAGGATTTGATTGAATTCCAAGCTGTCCCTTTGTCTTTACCATCTAACGCTTTGTCTATGTTGTTTTTAAGATAAAGATTTCCATTCCTCTGATAAGTTTACTGTCATTGACTCTATTTTATGTTCATTCATTTTTATTTAGGTATAATTCTCTTGCTTTTTGTAACTGATTCTTTGTCACTTAACACAACACACAAAAAACGTTTCCTCTTGAAGTCGTCACTGCACCAGAGCAAATCAGGAGCAATGAAGCGGCCATCAGGGTGAGTTGTGGTCAGTGGACGTCCACTCTCTTCTAGTCTCTGTGTGTCTCTGCTGGAACCTGCTGATGACACTCTGTGACATCCGGGCGCCACTTCAGGCTGAGAACTTCCTGTTTGAAGCCTCACAATTGTGGGTGCTGCTGATTGGTGTCAATTTGGCTTTATGAAGTCCTGAAAACGTGCTCAGACTGATGAAGACTGGATTAAAAAAACATTCTACAATTTGAACCAGAAAATCTTTTGGTTGATTGGTAGATTAAACCAGATTGTGAATTATGTCACTCACCTCCTTGTCAGAAAACAGCTTAATGTCCAAAATGTTTTGAAAAATGTTACTGTACACGGGTGGGAATTTATAAGTATTTTCTTCCTTCTACTCTTTTTAGAGTTTGAATAATGTACAATATTACTATAAGTAATGGTAGATTAATGATTTTCTAGAAAAGTATGTGTAGTGACATTTGATGATTAATGTTTGATGTACATTGAACTCGCCATAACATTTTTTCGATGAGTCCCCATTAAAGGACTCATTAATGTTTCCATGTATTAAATACATCTAAATATTCTGAATAACAAAAGTGAAAACAAAAGTTTTAAAGTTATTTTCAATCAAAAATCCAAATGACATGATGTCTATAATATTCATGTGTCTGATTTTCAATAGATTTAGCTGGTCTGGACTTTATCTTTTTTTAAAATTCACTAACTTTAGTTACCTGCCGTCTGGTTCCAGACTCAGAACTCCAATGATTCGGAGCAATAGATATAAACACTCTTTCGTACCTGCAGCGATCTCTACACTAAACTCAAACCAGAGACAGAGGAAATAGGGGTTGAAATTTTTGCTTGGGGGGGACAGTTTTTGTCTTCTTTTTTATCCTGTTTTTAAACTGCCATTGACCTGACTGGAAGACTGTATATGGACACCTTGTTAGTCTGAATGTATGGGGAAAATGTTTATTCTATGTCTTTTTCTTTGTATGTGTCCCTGTGCTGTGAACCAAATTGCCCCATCGGGGACATGAAATAAAGTGAAGTGAAGTGAAGTGAAGTGAACATACAAACAGCACTTCACATTGGTTTAAAAGTCGGTAAAAAAAAAATAGTCATACATAATATACTCAGTTTGTACCATTTCTAGCTAAACTCCAGAAAGTGGATTCTAACAGTAATCAGTGCTTGGAAGCTACATGAGACAGACAGGAAGATTTAGGCAACACAAGTTCAATAATAATTGTAAGAACTTTATTAGACCACTAGTGTACACGTTACACACTGTCCATTTGAAATCATTGTATTGTTTTTTTGTTATGGTTAAATTTTATATGTGTAGTTATAAAAAGCAGGTGTTCTCTTACTCACTGTTGGTCTCCATGCTCTCACACAGCTCGGTCTTCACTTCTCCGTTGGGCCGGTCTCCCTTCTGGGTGAGTTTGCCTGACATGGTGGCAGCGGTCACAATGGCCTGAAATTATGTTTAATAAAAAACAACAGTGAGTCCAACCCCAGGCCCACATCATAACTGTCCATTGTTACATTCAGCAATTCATGAGGAACGGAGAAAAGAGGAAATCAATTCTAACATGATCAAAGGGAAATCTTTCACAACAGCTCATGTGGTAAAGACATTCAATGATTAAAACTTATTTTATTCGCCAATGTGAATGAATCATGCATAGTACCCAACATGGAGTCCAAAACCACAATATAAAACTGTTTAGTGTTGTTTTATGACTAAATATGGGATTTGTTTATGTGAACGTTCTATTATATACAGTGGCTCTCAAAAGTACTTATTTTTGATTCTCTGATCTGTGTTGGCAAATTCAATAGTTTTCCTCCGAGAAAACTAATTTAGTGATTTAAGGCTATACAAGAGAGAATTAAATTGAATTGAATTGAATATGATATTTAATTTGCTTTCACTTCACAGTTGCCACTTTGTATTGGTCTTCACACTCACCCCCACAATAAAGGTAACACTTTATTACTGCCCGTATGGAGTGCCACTAATAATTATATTAATATGCTGTAAATTTATATATGAGATAAATTATATTTGTAAATAAATAGACAATTAAACAATGCAATGCTTTATTAGATATGTGTATTATTATGCAAATTAAAGCAACTGACTATTGATAATCTTGAATTTATAATCTCTATTTTATTTTCCAATATTTTTAATTACCTTGAAGCTGCGTTTCCTCTTGGGCACGTTCTGCTCTGGGTGGAGGAGGATGATGTAGACCTTGGGCATGTAGAGCATCCCCAGAGACACAGAGGCTGAGAGGCTGAGCGAGATGGTCAGAGTGGTGGTCTGAATGTACATCTGAAACACATTAACACACACGGTTATTCTTCAGATAAGTTTATTTATTTTCTTTAAATTGTAATTTATTTTATTTAGCACCAAGTAAAGAGGTAACTGTTGGTAATAAAACAAGAAAGCAACAGTTCTTCATTTTAAACTATAACATATCAAAAATACAAAGTGCCTTTGCCTAAAATACCATGGAAAGTTACAACATTAAACAAGAGTCTATGTAATTCAACTTACAATAAACTAACAAAAGTCTTATTCCACACAAAAAGCGATAGGGCAAGCCTTACATTTTTCTAATGGTGATAATGGCTCAAAGATTGTAAAAATCCGAAATATATATATATTTTTTTAAATGGACTATAATCCATAATTATTAAAATGAATGAGTCTGTATCAAACATAACTCACATTTTAAGTTTAAACTCTGAACTGTATTAGACAAGTATCATATGTATAATATATCAAACATTTTCTGCGTGTACACCTTTTTGTAACAAACCATATGTGCTCATTGCTTGATGGTCCAGAAACCCTTTAAAGGGACAAAAGCACAAATGTGAAAGTAAGAACTAATCCATTGTTTTTGCCATGACAGCTGCTAAGATGCACACGCAAAGATTGCCATCATCAAGAAGTGCAACAGCTCGTATCCTTATTGAAAACCACAGAGATGTGGGTTCAAAACATACAACAAAGAAAAAGGAAGATGAGTGGGCACATGGCAAGTATCTGTTTTTGTTTGTGTTTTTTTTTTTTTTATTGGCATATACAATATATTACAGCACAGACATTATAGACCCATTTGTACATTTAGACATGAACCTACATAAACATATAAGCATTTACATTGGGTCAGGCGGGGGGACAGGGATTCAGCGTGCGCGAGTGTGTGTGTGTGTGTGTATGTGCGTGTTCACTTTTGGTGTATTGAATATCTGAGGGTGTTGAAGATTTTCTTTTATTGACCGGTAGTGAGAGAGGGGAGAAAGAAAAGAGAGAGACTAATAATAATAGTAATAATAATAATAATAATAATAATAATAATAATAAAAACGTAGGACGAGTTGAGGTGCTATAATCCAAGGGGGTCTCATTCACACAGAGATGGGAGCGAGTTGGTAGATGATTATTGTTACTCTTCCAGCAGGCACAAATTCTAAAAGAAGAGGCAAAATCGCACAATCAAAACATCTGATGGAACTAGGGATGCAAAAAAAAATTTTATGACCGACCACCGAGCCTCATTAACCGGTGGTCATTAACCTCATTAGTTTAAAATAGTCCACGTTCTTTGAAATAACAGCCATTGAGCCGCGTACTTCTCATAAGTGCAGCTATGAGTTCTACGGGATCAGAGCTGAGACAGCGGCCCCAAAACCCGCAACAGCTTTGGCACCTTTGCGCGCAGAGAACTGCTTTTTTAATCTTCCGATTCTTCTGTGCTGCGGGTTAAAGCATTTTTAAGCAAAAGACGGTTCACATGGTCAGAGGAGCGAGTGACGAGCCGCGTCTCTCAGGTCTCCGCTAAAGTTTAAAAACAAGTGATGTGTGTGGAGCTGATCTAACGACAAGGACCATAAACACAAACATGTTCCATGTGGTTTGACTGAAGCCGCGTATTTGCGAGGATCCTTTGGGCTGCGTGACACAGAGGAGCGTGACAGACCAGTATGTGTGTGTGTACAATACATGTATGTGTGTATAAGTATGTATGTGTGTGTGTGTGTATGTGTGTAAATGTACACACATACACATGCCAAATGTCCAATGTAGTTCTGACCCGCACCGGTGTGCAACTAGCAGGCGGCAACAGAGGGGAGAGATGATGCGTGTGGATGTTACATATCAATGGAGGGGGGAAAGTGTGTGTGTGTGTGTGTGTGTGTGTGTGTGTGTGTGTGTGTGCGCGCGTGCATGTGTGCGTGCATATGTGGCGCTTGCGTCGTGAGAGTCGTCCCAGAGTTTACTAATACATTGGCACACACAGCTAGAGACGGACCAGCTCGTCACACCGTGCAAATAGGGCTTAAAAAAGCGTTATGAAGAGACCTCCCCTTTTTCTCTTTTTTAACCGACAGCTTTGACCGGTTTACGCGGTGACGGTCAACCACCGGTTAAACGGTCACCGATTTACATCCCTAGATGGAACCATAAACTAGGGTTGGCGATAAAACGATAACGATATATATTGCGATAGACACGTGTTCGATATCAATAGAAAACAGGGTCGATAGAACTTCGATAGTTTTATTTCAGTCCGTTCGAAAAAAACAGGAACAAAACACAGGAAGTAAAGCCGAGTCAGAAGCGCACGGCATTCTGGGGGATGTAAGCAAAGGCTTCTCGACCTATCACAGCTGACTACAAACCGCAAAACTTTCTGTGAAAAGCAAAAAAACAACCGCACCATGCGTAGCGTTCATGGATCATGGATCTATAATAGCCATGGATCTAAAGATCGTGTTTCAGTGCCGTGTCAATGGTTAAACACGTCCGTGTGAGGAACAGCATGTGCGGCGGGAGAGGCAGTGGGTACAGAGACTAGATGCATTCGGCAAAAGCAAGAGATGAACTTTCCGGAGCCGCCACGGGGACACAAGACACTCGAAAACAGCCAAAACAAGAGCTAAACCAGGATTTAAACCAGGACTAAAGTGGGGGAGACTGCTTGTGAACATTTGGCTCCAGCCTCATTCCCCCGTGACTGTAAACAAGGCTGCTAACATGTGTTAGCCGACACGACAAAGGTATTTATTCACGTTTTAAAAAATAAATAAAAAACAATCAATATCTATCGTTATCGACCGATATGAATCACTTATATTGTGATATAGTTTTCAGCCATATCGCCCAGCCCTACCATAAACTACCACGGCTGAAGAGCAACTGAATGTAACATCTCAGATGCAGGAATCTTAAAACTGGGTTGGTGCTAAATACCATGCTTACAATAACGACTATTTTCAATGAGATTTTCATCCCCAAATTGAGAAAAAGAATACATGTATTGTATCACCTATCATCCTGGTTTCACAACTGTGTTTCTTAAACCCCCGGCAGCAGCATGTTCATTTGAAATCAGATTCAAGAATCAAGTGAAACTGATGGAAGAGGGTTTCTGCCCAAAATCCCTCAACGTATGGCTCCATTCATCCTTTGGTTTGTACAAATCAGTCGTTCTGTCCCTTTTGCAGAAAAAGCAGCCCCAAACTATATTATTTCCACCGCCGCCTGTCACAGTGTATTTGTTGTATCAGTGAGAAGCCGCATACCATCTGCTTTGTCCGACCCCTTTTCACACAGAGTATCCTGTTTGTACTATACTATACATTAGACTTTGATGAGAGGCCTCAAACCACATCTTTACTTCAACACACATAACTTGCAGTCACATTTTCCAAAGACATTCACCTCCTCCTCCTCTGTAGAATTGTCACATGTCGGAGTATGTGCCTCTCTGACCTCCCTCTCTGCACTCCTTGACCGCTCCTGTGGACTCCACCATAATGAGCTCCTGGAGGAAATGGTGTCCGGAAAAAGCCTGTTGCTTGTCTAAAACAAACTCCCCATGTGCTCGGGTGCCCTCCTTCACCACTGATATTTCAACATATTCATTGATAGATATATGTATACAGTACATAGTCTTCTGTGTCACTAACCTGCCCATGGGGTTTTGCTGTATGAGAAAGATGAGTTGTGGATGTCATAATTAACAATTCAACCACATATATAATTCGCTTTTCAATCTGGGTAAAAAGGCTCTTAGAGTACTTAACAGAAGCAGGAGAATAGGGACATTTTTAAATAGCTTCACTATTCACTATCCTCCAAACAAACAAAAACAAAACAAAAGAACATAATAATGCAGCAATTCATTCTAAAGTTCTGAGGCCATTCCACATCTGAATGTGAGCAAAGACAGTATGAAACAAGTTCCAGTTATACTATCTATCACAGTGCCCATTGAGATCCCAGGGAGAAGGACAGTGGTAATGACAGATTTCAGCCAGTCCCCTTGACACTTCTGACAAGTTCTCAACAGGCAAGCCCAGGCACCGCCATCCTGCTGAAGCTAACTCCAGACAGGCTACAGTTGTGAGGAGGCCGGCAGGGAAATGGGGAGACAATATGTCAAAAAGCACAGAGGAGGCATCAGCAGAAGATGGAGCAGACGTGGCTTAAAATGGCACTGCAAGGGTGGAGATGAAAAAAAAAAAGCAGTCCAGCTCAGTTTAATGCATGTGGTCAAGCGAGGGCTGTCAGAAGTAACAATATACAATTGGCAAACGGCGGCGAGGTAAAGGATGATGAATCATTTCCACATGTGGTCAGTATATTCAACAAACGGAGTGGTCAAGTTTGGACCCAAAAAAGGTTAAAGCTGGGGTTTAACCTTTAAAGCTTCACCAATGTGCTCATGCTGTTCTCTGGTGGTTGGTTTTCACTTTTTTTGTACTTTACTTCTCACTTGACACTCTATTAGCCTGTGTATTATTTGGCTTTCCCCCCTTCCCTCCGTCTTCATTGTCCAAGATGAATATGTCTGTTCAAAAAGTGTTCTTATAACTGAATGTTTGTGTTCAGATGTAAAAAGTATATATTTATCGGTGTGTGGCGGCTTCCGGTATACTTTTATTTTTATGATGCCATCTTGGATATGGGGAATTTAGATTTCCAGAAAAGCTATGGTCTTTCCTCATGTGTGATATCATCGGTGCTGTCCGTTGATCTGTGAGTACTTGGGTATGTCCATGTTGTACTAATTTCAGGTTGTCACTTCCGAGGACCGCAGGGCGAGAGGGGGCGTGGTCACGCCTACTAAGTCAGTAACATCAGCTGATAATTGACATGTCACCAAGGCAGGTGACAGTTTTAAGATTAAGATTTTACTTAATTGCTAAAAGGTGTTTTAGAGCAGTGGTTCCCAAAGTGGGGGTCCCGACCCCCCGGGGGTCGCGGGAACCCCTGGGGGGGTCGCAAGATGATTTCTACACAAACAAAAAAAA